CTGGACCAACTTCGAAATACTTTTTCTGATGCTGGGCCTGTGCTGAGTGCCCGTGAGCTGGAAGCTGCTGAATTCTTCAAAGACTTGTATCATTGCTCTCTCATGGGAGTCCTGTCAAACAGTTCTGCGGATGTTCCACTGTGGGCTGATGTTAGGGCTTCGGGTTTGGGGTTGGCCGCCTACTCATCCTGCACTTCACTGCAGAATATCCAAGGACTAGCTCGAGAAGCTTTCGCTGCTGGCCAGATGTTATGGAAACTCAGGCCGAAATTCCACATGAGCCTCGGCCGAATCGTTTGTGGGATCGTTTGTGCTGTTGATTGTTGCAAAGGGACGGACCCCAAGCCACCAACAAAGGTTAGATCATATAGTGCTGGACGCTGCGCGATTGACTAACCCATTGCGGGTGGCAAACTACCAGGAGGAGGACTTAGTCGGCAGAATAAAGAGGATACTCAGCTGGCACATAGCATCGATGACTAGGGCCAATATGAGCTTCGATCCGACATGCTACCTGAGGATGGCCGTCCTGGAAAGTCCAGTGAAACTGGGGAGGGCCGTATTGGAGAGGTGGGCGTGGTTTGCAGCGCTCAGATGGCACAACGCTTCAGTGGCCAGCGAGTCCGAGTGAAAAGTGCCGGAGCTCGCAAACCTCCTCACCTTGAGTTAACACAAACCCTGTAGAGCCCAGAGCCCCAAGCCCTGAAACCCCTGCTAACCCTAACACTGCGAACCCTTACCGCCTTGAAGCCTTAGACCGTAAGAGCCAGAGCCCCAAGCCTTGAAATCACCTAATAAATCCTGAAGCCACCAACCCAAACTCCCGAGCCTCTTCACCCTGAACACAAACACCTCTAACACCGAGAGCCCCAAGCCCTGAAATCCTTAAAACACCCTGAAGCCAGCAACCCCAACTCCGGAAACCTCTTCACCCTGTACAAAAGCCCTGACCGAGAGCCCCAAGCCCTGAAATCTTGACAAAACCCTGAAGCCAACAACCCCAACCCCCGAATCCTCTTCACCCTCAACACAAAAACCCCGGTAAACCCAAGAGCCACCAGCCCTGCAGCCTCGACAAACTCCTCACCTTGACAACCCTGACAACCCCCGACCCCCGAAACCTTCCCACAGCACCCCTAGAAGCCAGAACCTTTCGAAGCCCTGGAGAACCCCTTAAGCCCTGGAGCCTTTAAAGATCTAGAGGCCATAAACCACGAGTCCAAACAGCCGTTTCAGGTTCAGGGCTTCAGCTCTTTTGCTGGTTGTTTGTGCTTATAGGGTAACCCCGGGCACGCGACCCCCACCCTAAGGTTCATATATGCGTGTGGCATATATATGCCTAAATGACATGTTTCCTGTATCCTATATGTTAACTGACTTGTTTTTGGGCCTAGAACGCTCAACACGTCGAACAGAGGGCCCTGGATGGCATCCCTATGAATCTCTGAATAAACTCATGTTTTTGCAACATCAGCCGATGAAGCCGAACAAGTCAACGCATCAGCCAACACGTATGCACAAGTAGTTCATAGTTGGCTGTTCGGACTTTGACATGTGTATTAGTCAACTATGGGATAGCTAAACAGACAACTAGGCAGATAGCCGCACCCACCCCTCTCTCTTTCTATGTGTATGTGCAAATTTGTTTATTGGTTTAGTTATTTACTAGTTCATTTACTTTTTTGAATCAAGATACAGATGGGGCTCTTAGGGTATAGGGCCAGGGTTTAGGGGGCATTAAAAAACCGGCCTAGATTTCAGGTTTATCTTAAAGCCAAACCCTCACCTCTCAACAAGTTATCATCCGCAACCCTCCTAAACCCGATAGCCCCTGAAACCTAAACACCTGGGCAAAAATCACTTGATCCCTAAACCCTAAACCCTAAACCCTAAACACCAAACCCCAAACCCACCCAACACAAACAGGAGATGGACGCGGCCACACGGGCCACGGAGCTGATACAGTTTGCATTTTGAGTTTACAGTTTGTCAGGTTGGATTTCAGGGATTGCTTTAATTTAAGGGCTCTCAGGGCTCTTTTCGGTTCTTTCAGGGGGGTCGTGAGTTTACCGAGTCCCACGATCGCAGTTGCATGCGGGCTGGTCTACAGCCGGTGGCTGTTGCAGCCTCATATTTCATAACTCCTGGAGTCTTGGAGCCTTGGTCTTCCCGGCTGCTACGAGTACGTGTGTTCAGATTTCTGCTTCGGACAAATGGCGGCTTTGAGTTGTTGGTTCCTTCGATCTTGCAGTGGAGGTCCAAAACAGTTCCCTAAGGGCCCAAGTGTGCAATAGCCGTGTAACCCTAAACCCTTGAAGACAGCCTAACTTTTGAACGAGCTACGAACACTGGTACGACCAGACTCGAAGCCCTGAGTAGCAAAGCTTGTATGCCTCCCATGCTTTCGGATGTTCATAATAATATAGGTTGGCGAGCTAAAGAGGGTACTGAAGTAATCCGTTATAAGCCCTGCACCCTGCCAGGATCACCAGTAGGCTTAGCAAAGGTTTGCGGTCGTAGAAGTGGCTATGTAGGCGGGCAGCACCCGATACCTGGTTGCTTAGGCAAACCGGCTGCACTTCCCGTGAAGGCCCTGGCACAGAATCCTTCTAAGCAAATTCCCACAAAGCCCAAAATCCCTGCTAAATCCTACGCCTTAATCCCCCAACATCCCTGACTAAATCCTACGCCTTAATCCCCCAACATCCCTGACTAAATCCTACGCCTTAGTCCCCGAAAATCCCTGGCTAAATCCTAAGCCCTAGTCCCCCAAAATCCCTGCTAAATCCTAAGCCCCCAGACCCCTAGCTTCCAAGCTCCCAGGCGCTGAAGGACGCCACGGAGGAGACCTTCGGTGAGCGACCGAAGATCGACCTGGGCCACTCTTCTGCCTCGGGTTGCTTTTTTTGTTCGAAGTTCGAAGGGGAGGAGAGGGGCGAGGTAGGCTAGGTTTAGGGTATAAGGTCTATGGTATTGAGGCTCTGGGTAGAATTTATAGGTTGACAGTAGTTCGCTAAGGTTTGTAAGGTTGCTAAAGTCTGCCTGTCTAAACGTTTTTTTTCCAGGCAGCTTTAACTGCTAACTGCTTCTTAATTTGTCTCGCTGGGGGTTCAATCTGTTGGAGTGTGTGTGTGTGTGTGTGTGCGGGGGGGTTCGTCTGTAGGCTTGATCCCTAAACCCTAAACCGCTTGGTCGGGGATTTCCTGCCGAATGCGGTTGCACGGAGTCCTGTCACGACCGGAAGCCCACGGGCTATGTCATGATTGTATTTGATTGAAAGACTATTTACTAACGGGGATCCTGAAGGAATAGCGGCACTAATTTTTGCGGCTGCTATATTGATGTGTCTTAGATTGTTGAGGTTGGATGTCATTGGGGTATTTTGCGTGGCCACTCTAGGCAAGGTCTTGTGGGTTTTAGTTTTGGGGGCTCAGAGCTTTGGACGTGGTATGGCCTTGGCCCTAGTTCCTGAGATCCTGTGGGCCCTAAACCCCCAAACCCCCATACCCTACACCCTAAACCTACCTTCAACCCTATCTGAGCTCCGAACAGCTCGCCGTTCCGGGGGTGCGAGCTTAAATATCCCGACTGTTTGACCGCGGACCCCAGAAAATGGAGCAGGGGTTTAGGATGATTAGTGCTACGATCCCTTATGCTTGACCCTAGTTAATACATGAGTATTGCGATGCTCCAATGCTATGACTGTTAAATACTGGAATCATAACCAGGAGGAGCCTGAGTTTTACAGGGTTCATTTTAATCCCGAAGCCTCCACACCCTCGCCTCCGAGACGTAACAGAGAGCCTGCTTAATTTGGTGGGGGAGCTAGCACCAGACTTCCTACAGCTTGGAAAACGGATCTTTGAAATGAGAAGTCTTGTCTTCTAGAATGCTGAGATTGGTATGCCAGGTGAGTACCGTGGAGATGATTACTCTTGGAATGCCATTGGTTTTTTCGGCATTGCCTTCATCGTGCTCGTGGCTACTCGGATATTGAATTGCGTTAGGCGGTCATCCAAACTTCAGCTGCTAGAGTCGCGCGTATTTTTGATCTACGCTCCAACAACTATGTGTGTGGTATATCGTCTTTGCACACAGATCTCCTCTCTCTGAGTTTGGCTTTGAAGACTAAAACCAGAAACCACGCACGAACTCTAAACGCAGCGCCGTCAAACCTTCATCAACAAACTCTACACAACCTTCAACCTTGAGCCCTATAACCATCAACCCCAAAGCCCTTCATGCAACTCTCACGTGCATGCAACGTTTCGCCAGACGTGCCGGGAGTCAAAAAGCGGAACTTCGAGTGTCGAGTTTCCTCTGAGGGCTCTCCGCCCAAAGGCTTGATCCCTCTTAGACAGGGCCTGGAACTCGGGTTTAGGGGTTTAGGGCAGTCCAAGATATGCATAGTCCAGGTGTAAAAATGGCCAGTCTAAGGAACATGAACATGCTCAACTTTCAATCGCGCTGTCGATCTTAGGCATGAGGACTGGAGTAAGGCTTACGTGTTTGGGTTCAACGATGTCTTCCTACTGCTCCTAGAATCCTTGAGGCAGAGCCCTCATGAAACCTTTTCCGCCCAGTGCTACGAGTCATGGAAAGACGAGTTGGGTGGTGGACTGGTCCCCAGCAACGTGAAGACGGATGCCGATGAACCTTGCCTTCATTCCGGCTTACATGGTACACCGGCATTGACCGTTTGGGATTTTAGGGCTTTGAGGCTTCGGGTTTGATGGCCCAGAGATACTTCGCGCACGAGTCATACAGGAGCTGGACCCCAGCACCTTCGTGTAGCTTCATGTAGTCGAGAAGGAACCCAGTTCATAACAATCCCTAAACCCTAAACCCTAAACTCTAGACCTAATAGTATAGTAGAGGGAAGGTTTAGATTACAGTCGTCCGCGGCAGAAGCTGAAGATTCGGATCTCCTTCTCTGTGAAGGATTACTTCAATCCGGACTTCGATCCCTACAAAGGCAGAGATTGGGGCTTCGTTTGAAGTGGGGATTCAGGGAGCTGATCTGCTATTGTACGTCCGAATCAGGTTTGAGACGTTGCAGCCTTAGGATCTCGAGGGCATTTTGGATTTAGGCTTTAGGGGTTTAGGGGCTAGGGGTTTAGGTTAACAAAAGGTACTGGGCACATGAACTTGCAGGGTTTTATCGATCATTCCCTAGGATTTAGTTGGTGTTGTCGCATGCTAGTTTAATGGAGTAGTTGTCGACAGCTTCACTGCACTGCTGGTAGGTTCTTCTCAAACTGTCAAGAACCGGAGGTGCAAGTGATTAGTGTTCAGGGTTTAAGAGCTTTCGATAGCACTCAAGGCGGCTACTTCAAGAACTGAGTCAAACACCTGGTATGAACGCCGGATGCCGACGACAGTCTGCCTTCGGTGCCCGCTCTCTCTATTGCCTTTATGAACTATCGGCGACGTGTACCACAAGGGCCCAAATACTCACCTATATTCCTTTGGGGTTCCTTATTGTAGTTATAGTATGATGGGCCCCAAAACCCTATTCTAGTTTTAAGGCCCTACATTATTCTTTTGTGGCTTCAGCTTTCATGCTCGCAGATCGTGCTTTCAGTCCATAGTTTCAGCTCCAATGGCACATGGAAGGCATGAACATCAAGAAGGAGACCAAGGAGAAGGAAAATGCCTGAGCCAAGCAATGATGCCTGACATCCTACAGTACATCCTGCCTGCGCGTCGCAGGCGGATAGTGGCGAAGGACATGCGGTTGAGCCCCCTTCAACCTTCTAAACGTTTAGCAGACGCTCTAACTTATTCAGATACATTAGATGCTCCGCGAGGCGTTATAGACACAATGCCCGGGTTCGGTCATGTCAGCCTACACCAGTCAAAAGAAACTAAACCCTACACCCCAAACCCTAGAGCGATCCTCAGAGTTGCTATGGTGTCGTCCACGTTTCACCCAGTTTTCCCGACCGATATTCGAAGGAACGCAGCCACCTCACTATGAAACCCCTTTTCTAGACTCTTCTACGAGTCCACAAAGCCAAAAGAAAACCCTACAGGATCTTATGAATCCCTTATGCGCCATAAACCCTATAAGCCCTATAAGCAGCGCAGCTATAAGCTCTCGTTTCAGATTCTGATTCCGTCAGCTTCGGCCTCGGTGTCTGGAGCTCTACTCTTAGAAGTTCTTGGCCCCCCCAGCCTTTTGTTTATGCATATGCATATATACAAATACTGATAGAATATATATATATATATAGACATATTTATATATGTATATTTATCATAGAATTATAGACATATACATACATTCATACATTCATACATACATACATACATACATACATACATACAGATATATACATACATCCGTACATACATAAGTACATACATATGTATATATATATATAGCCCGAAGCCCTAAGCCACAAAAACTAAGCCATGCTCGACCCTGCGGCCCCAAACTCCCAAGTTTTCACAGTGGAGCTCTGAGGAGATCATGGCAAGAGCGAGTTTAGACAACTGTCGAAAAAAGTGGGCTTTATGGGTTTAGCCAATGAGCTCGACAACCGAATGGGCAAGCGGCTGCGGTCCTCGGAGTTCCGTCGCGTAGATCGAAGATCCCTGTGTGCCCGGCGCAGGGGTGTACGTTTGAGGCTTCATGATTTACGAAATGTACGGCTATGAGGTGTGATAGTACGGCAAGAACAGGGGCTATACAACTTCAAAGTACATGCCCAGGAAATATATATATATATATAGATAGATATGTATGTGTGTGCCATTGTCTTTCAATCGTAACTTCTTACCGATTCTAATCGTGACCCGCGCGCGCGTGCTGCAAGCACGACTCTGAGGTGGAAGCAAGCAGTAGCTCAGACGCGGCAGAAGGGCCGTGTTCAGACTGCGACCAGAAGGGCTCCGAGCTTGAGGGCTCGAGGGCTGTGGGGCTGCTGAGTTAGGCCAGATTTAGGGTTAGGGGTTTAGGATTTATACGGTTTAGGGTTTAGGGTAGGGGTTATTTCCGGCCCACCATCAGATCTGCCCTTCCCAAGGAGTCCAGATGCAAAAACAAAAAAGAAGGGCGTATAGGGTTTTAGGCTGAGTTCAGGTTGTGGGGTTGGGCCTATAAAGGATATATACGATGCACGGGGTGGCTCGGCATGCGAGGCATGTAGATTCGTAATTAGTCGTTATTTCGGGGACAGGTTAGACCGCCCTAAACCCTAAACCCATGCCTCGCCTAGATTGTCCGAGTGTGAGCGTCGAAACCCTAAACCCTAAACCCACCTTAAGGGAGAAACCCTAAAATAGACGGCGCTACGCTTGCTTCTACCAGGGCGAGAGCCAGAGAATCCTGGAAAACCCGGAGTGCCGATGGCAAGATGCACCATCCCGTTGCAAAATAGCTGCCACAGGACGGAAGATTATAACATAGAAGCCTGAATACTCACGGGTAGTATTCCCTTAGTTGACTCTAATTCTAGACTATCGTCGCGGCTGACAGGTGACTGAGTCCATGTGAGAGAGGAGAGAGAGTAATATAGAAGCCTGAATAATTACGAATAGTCTTGCCTAGGGTTCCTCATTCTAGTTCTACTCCAAGATAAGAGGGTTCACCCTCGTCGACTTTTGCAGGAGCCTAATATAGAAGCCTAAATAGTTACGCATATAATTCCTTAGGGTTTATTAGTATAATTGTAGTATAAATGGGCCCCAAAACCGTGTTCTGATTATTAAGGCCCCTATATCATATCACGTGTGAATCCAGGAGCCCTTTCGTTCACTGTCGAGAAGTCCCCTTCAAAGAGGCTTCATATTCCTCATTACGTGATAAGTTGAGGCTGCAACAGAGTGTAGTTTTGTGAACCCTAAACCCTAAACCCTAAACCCTAAACCCTGTAGGTAGGTCTTGGATACCAGGACTTGGATCTTTTACTTTGAGGCTCGGAGTCCTCTAAGTGCTGAGAGCCGACACTGAAGCTCTAAAGCATACGAAAGGCTGCAACAACATCCGAACTCCCGAGAGCCCCCTACGAAAAATCCCTCACAGTTAGGGCTTAGGGTTTAGGGTTAGACACTGCAGGGTTTATGGTTGAACAGGGTTTATTAACAGAGCTGCGTGTTTACCGTTGGACTTTCTTTCCTTGGAGGACCGCTTTGATGCGCTCGTGTTGGCGCCGGCTTGCCGGATGCTCCAGCAGCTGCGCCGGGGAGCCCAGTTAAGTGTTGTCATCTAAATTTCTGGGTTTCAGGGCTGAGGGCTTTCTAGGCTTTTGCGGTTTAGGGTTTTGCATCCCGGATTACCACACTTGTTGCAGCGCACAGTGGGCATGTGGTTTTCCGGTGATTTCAGGTGGTGTTCTTCTGCGGGTTTAGCATCGCATCCCCTTAGAGCCCCTATATACCACTATAATGCACTAGACAAAATTATTCCCGATCCATGCTGCGTACGCTCCCGATGTTATAGGTTTTTCTAGAATGGGGCTTAACTTGATGTCAACCGCGCATCGACCAAATCGCCTACGTCCAGTTTCCGAGGCAGAGCTGCAACAGAAGCCGAGCGATCGGAAAGTCTTCCCGGCTTGGTTTTGGGTTTGTTGGGAGAAGTTCTTCAGCATCGGGTCTACGGTGTCTAAGGTTTAAGGGTTCAAGTCTTGACTACGTAGCTGGGAGGCGAGGATTCCTTCGGATTTGCTCACTCTGAGACGGATGCTGTTCGTTGCCAGGGTCTCTGGAAGTATCATGGTTGTGTGGGTGATAGAGGCTTCCTCAAAGCTATGGGGATCAGACAGCCCGCGGTTCCTTAACTGAACCCATAAAAATGGACCCTAAACTCAAGACCCTTAGAACACTCTCTCAACATTCTTGAAGCCTACAGCAAAACCTTACTCAACCCTTAAAAAGTCCCTGGCAGCATCATTTTATACCATGACAAGACCGTGTCCCAAGCCTCAATCCCGCTCCAACCGCTCCTCAACTCACCACCCACTCTAAACCCATATGAAACCACCACAAGACCATGCCCTCATCCAACACACCTGAAATATCCCAAACCCTCAAGACGGTGTGCAGCTATGGCTATGGTGGCACCATGTTTGCAACTGCTTGTCAAGTGCTCAAGGCCTGACCAACCTACAGAGTTGGGTCAAGAGCCCGGACCGGGGGTTGATAAGGCTTGTACTTATTGTGTTGCGGTGTGGCTATACAGGGGTTTGACTTTCGAAATCGGGGGGGGGGCTAAGTGTAAGGTTGCTGCAGAGTTGAAGATACACAGTGCTGCTGAGCTGTCGAGGGTTCAGAAAACCAGGGTTTCGAAGGAGCAGCTCCCTCCATGTCGAGTAATTTCGCTTGTCTGAAGGATGCGTATGTTGCAACTGTCATTGCGACATTGCGCAGCTTCCTGCCAATGCGCAGTATTCTCCATGCGGTTTCGATCAGCATCTTGAAATCGGGATCATTCTTGGCACCACAGCACAGCTTCTCCGGAACTACTGTAGCCGTACCTTCACCGTTCGGGCGATCTCCGATGCGAGAAGAGCACAACAACGGAGACAGCACCGTGAAACACTGAAGCCCTAAAATCCCCGCGTGCTGCAAGCCAGCCTAAGTCACCTTTTTGTTGCACTCTAAACCCTAAACCCTAAACCCTAAACCTCGTGGAGAGCAGACTTTTCGTACTGGGGCTGCCGCCTGAGGTCGAGGAGCTGCAGGTGCCTCACTTAGGAAGCGCTTTCCTCAGAGGCGCTCGGCGCACTCTGGTGGGGGAGTTTAGGGGCTCAGGATGAGGAATGTCCGATGTTTTTTGGCAAGGGGTTTAGGGTTTAGGGTTTCGGGGGGGATGGGGTTCTGGGGCTAAGGGCTAAGGGTGTAGTTCTTGAGCGATGCTTGGGGATTTGAGCATTTTGGTCTGGAGTTTACCCAGTGTGATGCGCACTCCTCTGTTCTTACGATCGGTATAGGCTTTCATATAATGCGGGGACCCAAGCAAAACCAGACACTCTGAAACCTAAGGTCAAGCTCTTTCTGACGTGCTTCAGCGTTGGGTTCGGACTGGCTTGCAATCTGCAGTTCAAGGTCTGAGCTTTAGGGTGGGAGCTTCAGGATCGGTCGTCTGATGCAAGTAGCGTGCTTGACAGCCGGAACGAGCCCGAAAGCCCGTTCGTTTCCACGGCACATGTTAAGCCCCGAGCTGTGACGGAGTGGATTACTGAGCCTGGCAAGAATCCTGAAGACCCATGACATAATACTTCCACGCCCCTGGAAACCAAGCTAACATCGCCACAACCAGGACGACCACACCACAAGGAGGCCACAAGGAGACCAGGAACCACCAACAGATCGCCACAGGACCCAGAGCACCAACAGAGCCCACCGGGAAACTACGGCCAAGATGCTTCCTGCCAATGTACCGGCGGGGTTCGGTACCGCCACCAATGCGGGAGCCGACAGACCACGACTTGCATTGCTTCAGATGCAAGAGCTTTTGGAGATCGATCAATCAGCATCTGACGGTTTATGGCTGCGTAATGTAGAGTTTAGAAGGGTTGATTAGGGTAAGTTGATGCCTCTGTGGGATTTCCGTGCAGACGCCCTGCGTGCAGCCGGCGCCGTGCCATCAGAAGGATCTTGGATGACCCAGGTCGAGTGGCCAGCTTCCTGTGTGTGGTTTGAATGCTTCGGG